GTGGGGCGGGGGTTTGGGGCTCCAGCCCAGCTCTGTGACTGTGACTGTGTGAGCCCCAGCTGCTAATAAGCTCTTGCCACCGTTTGTCTCTGAATGCAGAAGGCTCTGGGGTGGGCGGGACAGATGAAGAGGGAGAGGAGGAGACGTGACAATCAGCATGAGGCAGTGAGAGAGAAGGAGCCGGGTGTTTGGGGAAATGGGCACGCTGGTGCTTGGCAAGGATGGAGGGTCTCATCTTCGGGGGGCGGGGGGAGGACAAGAGTGGGAGGAGACGAGGCTGAGGGTGTGGGCTGAATGCCTGGGGCCACTGGGATTCTGTCACAGCCACGGCTGGGAGAGTGAGCAGTGCACAGCCAGGGCCCGTCCCTTCCCGGGCTGCTCTCAGCCTCCTCCTCCTCCTGCCGGCTGCACCTGTCAGTGCAGGAACTGCTTGACCTTTGTCCTGCAGAGGAAGGAGGCTGGAGTGCCTTCCCTTGGTTGCGTGGGGCCGCCGGGCTCAGCCCGAGATGATGTCTGGTCTTGTCCACTGGCGCCCTGAAGCCTTCCTGCATGACAGCTACCATCACACATCCTCTGTTCCTCATACCAATCTGAGCACTACCTGTGCCCCACAGGATGTGGGCCCGGGCACACAGCGATATCTTCATCACCCCGGCCGCAGGGAGCCCACAGCCTGCAAACTGACCATATGAGGCTCCGTGTGCCCCTTGACGTTCGTCACCTTATTGAACATCAACCCTCTGAGGCAGGGCTTATCACCGCCATCTTATGGGTGAGAAAACCCAGACTCAGAGGAGCTGAGTACATTGCCCAAGTGGCAGGGCCAGGTCTGTCTTCTGCCTTTCAAGCCTGGCCTCTTCCATCGCCGTCATTCATGTGGTTGGGGGTCACGTCAGCGGGTCCATCCCAGGAATCTCTGCAGAAGGGGTCGGGAAGGGAGGTCTTCAGAGGCTGGGCAATGGGAGGGCTTCCCCTGCGAGAAAGAGGTTGGGTGGGAGGTGAGGGGGGCAGAGAGAGAGGAGAGAGGAATCCCAGTGAGCTGAGCTGGGCCTGGGGTGGCCATGCAGGGCACCGGTGGAGCCTGTGGGGACTGCCTCCTGTCAGGACACCTGGGTTCAGTCCCACGTCCCCTCCTCCCCCACTGTGTACATCGCTCCACCTCTGAGTCACCTCCACTCATCCATATGCATGCAAATTAGCAAAAGGCGCCCCTTCCCCAGGACTCCTGACAGGCATCCGCTGGAAAGTTGTCATGACAGATATGCCCATTGCGGGAACCACGATGGAAGTGGCACTTTTCAGTGCTGGGATCCACAGCTGGCTCAGCCATACATGGGGCCCTTCTCTGAGGTGCAGGGTCTTCATTTGCTCTCCGCTGGGATAACTGTCCATAAATAAGTACCCTGGCGATTTGCTCTCCGCTGGGATAAGTGTCCATAAATAGGTACCCCGGCGTCGAACCAACTGTGAGAGGTGACGGGGGCCCGTGGATCCGCTGCCGCTCCTCTGGCTGCTCAGCCCGGAGCAGGGCCCGGCTGGCTCGTTAATGTGAGCAGCGTCCCCGGCCGCCCTGCGCCGCCCTGACAGGGACCATTAGTGCCCTTGGAGCCTCTGTCAGTGAGCCGCTCCCTGCCCCCCACTTCCTCCTGCCAGTTCCTTGCCTTCTTCTCCCCCTTCCTCCAGCCCCTGCCATCAGTTTTTTCCTCTGATTGTTCTTAGAATGACCCTTCTGTGCCCCTCCCCCCCCTGCCCCCTGCGTTGGTGCCTCTCTATCCCCATCTGCAGGCTCCCTGTGGCCATGGGGCCTCTGGCTTCCAGTTCCTAGGACGGGTTTCCCTAGGTGCCCCCAACCCTAGCTCATGCCTGATAATGGGGTTCCTGGATCCCCGTTGCGTAGGCCCTGCTTCCTTCTGTGTCATGCTCTGGGTGCCTCACACATCTGCCAGCTCTAGTCTTGCCACTCTGGCTGGTTCCTAGGGGCAGGGCAGGGCAGCCCCTCATTCGTGCCCTGTCCTCCCTGCCCCACTCTCAGGATCTAGCCAAGTGAGGACAGCAACCCTTAGTGGACAAGACGCCTGCCTGCCTGCCGTGGCCCCTCCCGACACCTGTGGTCTCCCTGGCCACCTGTCAGCATCGCCCCGGGTCCTACATCACAGCTCATCCCAGGACACCTCCCAACACCTGTGACACTCCCTGTCCCTGCAGCCAGCCCCCTGGTCCCACCAGCTGTGGTCCCCTAGCCTGCTTGCCTGGGACAGGACCCATCACAGGCCGAGGCTCAGCTCTCCCCGGGGCCCCTCCGAGAACCTCATCACCTGCTCAGAGGCGCAGCGTCCTTGTCCCACTGAGGTAGAGCGATCTCTGGACAGGTGGCCACTCGCCACTGCCGGGGTCCGCAGAAGTCTAAGGCTCCTATGTCGGGAGCCCCAGTGAGATCTCTCCTGGGAGGGCGTACTTATTGGGGAGAGGAGAAAGGTTGTTTTCTCGCCTTCTGTTTCATTATCACCTCTTCCTTAAGTTCCCACTCACCCTGGGAATATGAAGACCATCCAGATTTTCAAGGCTCTCACAGTACAGCAGGGAGACCCACACACAGAGAGACAGTTCTAGACCTGCAGGGCGTGTGTCGGAACGGACATGGGTAATGGGAACGCTGAGGAGCGGAGTCTCCCTGTGAGGAACGGTGGGTGATTCGGGGCGTGGCGTGTAGAGTGCACATGTGGGGCAGAGGTGGGGCTGGGATGCAGCAGGGGGTTGGGGGGCTCAGGCCCATGGGACTCTCGAGCTGGAGCAGGACGTCACCAAGGTGGACCAGTCTTAGGAGACCCAGATGTTGAAGTTGGCCTGGGACCTGCCGCTGCACTCTGCAGGAAATGGGTGCAAATGAGTTTTTATCTGTGAGCAAATAAGAAGGGGAGGTAGCAAGAGGGATTCCTAGAAGGATGTGAGGGGAAGGATGCTGGACCCCGCTGGGTGGGGGTGCTGGCTCATTGTGCCAGTGTGGGCCAGCCCCTCTGAGCCAGGGCCCAGACGCAGAAAGCAGGGCTGAAATGGCCCTTCTCTGCTCCCCTAGACAGTCCCAGCCAGTCTCTGTCGGTGGCTGCTGGGGTTCCATCGCTCCAGAAAGGCACATGGCTTGCCTGCCCGCGCCAGGTTCCTCCATTCCTGAGCAAGGCTGGGCCTGGAACTGGGGCTCATGCCATTCTGTGTCTGGGAGGGGCAGACACCAGTGGCCTACTCTCTGAGAAGCCACCCCCTCCACCTCCTTCAGCGTGGTGTCATCATCACATCTCCATTTATGTTCCAAGTGGAGGAGGCTGCTTTGTCACCCACCTCCTGCCCAGGAAGTGTTCATAGTCACGACTCGCCAGGGTTTGAGGGCCTTCCCTGCGTGCTGGGGAGAGACAGCACGTACTTACAGATGCGCCGAGCACCTGAGTTGTATTATCTCATTTAATTCTCACATCGACCCCACAGATAAGTACTATGGTCCTCTTGTCACAGAGGGGGGAACTGAGGCACAGGCTGCATCGGCGTGCACTGCCCAGGCTATACAGCTAGTAAGTGGTGGGCAGGGAATCTGGCTCCGCTGTGCTGTCTGTTGACAGCGTAGGATGGCGGTATCCTGGGCAGCGGGTGAACTCTTCTCCCCGTCACCAGTACTGAGGGAGTGGAGGCAGGCTCAGGCCCTGTCCTCGCAGAACCCGAGGCGGCACAGAGTTGTCACGGGGAGACACAGTCACATGGACAGATCACAGAGCACAGAAGGCGAGTTTAAAGAGGCTCCCTGATGCTGTGGGAGCCCCGAGGAGGGAGCATGGCGGCAGGGGCAAAGGCCAGGAAGGCTTCCCAGAGGAGGTGACATTTGAGCGGACTTGAAAGGTGAATGTGAGGTGACCATCCCCAGAGCGAGGGAACTGGTAGGGGATATGAAGCAGGAGAGGTGAGGGTGGGGAGCACCCCCAGAGGGAACCCCTGCTTGGCTAAGCAGTCAGGAGCCATGAAGAAAGTAAGTTGGGATTAGAACTGTAGCCCAGGGCTGGCTGAGGTGAGGTGAGCTGCATGGAGCCTGGCAAAGGCCTCCTGACAATGCCCGCGCGAGAGATTGCCCAGCGGCTGCAAACTCGCCGGCCCATCGAGGGGTGGTCTTGGTTCTCTCCTGCACTGACTTCCCCTCCAGGGCCGTGGGTGGGTTCTGATGACCTCAGCAGTTTCCCAGACAGCAGGATGTCCAAGCTCGCTGTGCTGCTGAGATAAGGGGACGGATGGAAACAAGGATTAAACCCGGGGCCCAGCGGAAGCAGCTGCAGACTGAGCAGCAGCCGTGTGGGTCAGCAGCCCCCACCCTCCGCATCCCCACTCCTGCAGGAGACAGAGGGGTGGCCTGGCCCAGCCTTGAGGGGCCAGTGCCTGGTGGGGGCCGCAGAACCCTGCATTTCCTCAAGTCCAGAGTGTGTGTGTAGGGGCGGGGGGAGGGGGGCTTTAATCCTCTGATAACTGGCTGTGGGACTTAGGCAATCGCTTTGCCTCTCTGGGCTTCAGCGTTTAATCAGTAGTTCAGAGCGGACGTGGAGAATAATGCCTGCTTTGTAGGCCTGTGTGAGGAGGGAAGGAGATGAAGACTGTGACCGATCACAGACTGCAGGTCACCATGCCAGTGGGAAGGCTCGGGGCAGATGTGGCCTTCGCTCCTGGGGCCACTGCCAGAGCCGAGAGACTGGTGCACCTGGCAAGGCCTCAGGCTGCGGCCATAGGGCCCCCCTCGGGGGTGGAGCCCCACCCTGCTCCCAGCTCCCCCCCAGTTTGTGCCTCGGGCTCTGCGATGTTGCACTGGACACTTCCCCCCTCTGAGCCTCAGGTCCCTACCACTGTGAAGAGGGCACCAATCCCTGCCTGGCAGGTTTGGCTGCAGAGGGGGAGAAGGAGGGCACATTCAGGCAGGCAGCCTGCTAGGCCAACCCGTGACCCCGCTTGACCCCTCTCCTGCTCTGCTCCTCCAGTGGGAACGCCTCTGGTTCCTGCTCCTCACGGTCACCTTCGGCCTCACACTCACCTGGCTCTACTTCTGGTGGGAAGTCCACAATGACTACAATGAATTCAACTGGTGAGTGGGGACAGGGGGTGGGGACGAGGCCTGGGTCTCAGGCATCCAGTGGCTGAGACTGGGGGGTGGGGGTGGTGGTGGCGGTGGAGTTTGAGCCTCTCTCTCAGGCTGGCGCTCAGAGCTCTGCCACCAACTCTGTGGCTTTGGGGCAGGGGTCTCTGGAAAGACAAAGCCCAGGGGGAACTGAGACCAGCTGGGGGCGGGGGGGGGGGGGGGCAGGAAGGGAACTCCTTCCTGTGCTATTTTGGAAAATAAGAATGGCCTCATGCAGGCCTCAGCAGGGGGCAGGGGCTTCTGGCTGTTTGTAGATGAGGACTCCAAGGCCAGAGATACAATGGCCTCAGCAGAGGTGGTCCTGACACCACCTCCTCACCCCTCACCACCCATTCTGAACTCCTTGATTAGGGCCTTGGGCAGGGCTGGCAGATGCTATGGTTCTGGGATGGCTCAGCTCAGGCACCTGCTTTCCCCCCCACACCCCGCCCCCGCCTCCATTGCCTGTCTTTGTCAAACAGTGAAGGGAAGAGGGCAGGGACCCTGAGTTCTAGTGGGAATTCCTTCAGGCCCAAGTTCACACAATCAGTTGGGGGCAGAGTTGAGGCTGGAAAGCCAGGCCCCTCCTGGCCCCTCACCACCCCCACCCCACCCCCCGCCTCCTTTCAGTGCTATCTCTTCCTTTTGGTCAGAAGTTCAGCTCAGTGCAACTGTGAGCAAGTCTCTGGTCCACTCTGAGCCTCAGTGTCCTCTTCTGTAAAATGGGGTAGCTCTGAGCCTGGCTGACTGTCTCATGCCGTCTACAGAGCCACCACCTCTTCCCAGAGAGGTCTTTCTGAGAGTGGAATGAGATGACTTGAGAGGGCTCAAAGCTCTACCTCACCCTGAGGGTCCTTTCCTGGGAGGCCCATTCTCTAGCTGGAAGGGGCCATGATGTTAGAATTGGGGTCCTCTGGGGCCATGGTTCTGGGATTCCATGGTGATCCTAAGGTTCTGTTCATGGAGTTGGGCATCCCCTCCCCGCTGTGTGGCCCTAGGTTGCGCCTCCATTTTTAACGAGCACAATAAAGGGTGTGCTGCTGTCCCGCCCCAGCCTGGCAAGATGAGCCCAGCCCAGCTGAGTCCCCGAGGTGGCTCTGGCCTTTATTAAATGCCATAAATCATCCGTGTAGGCATCACAGCGCCGGCACTGTGCTGGGCGTATAGGACCGTTCCCTGCTGGCCCTCGCTGCAGACCGTGGGCAGTTCTGCTGAACCGGAGGCTGCTACCTGGAAAACCACCAGGTCCATCCCCGTCATGTTCAGGTGGGGAACCTAAGGCCCAGAAAGGGGCAGGACTCACCCGTGGCCACCCAACCACTTCGTACCAAAAAGTCATCCCGAGGACAGTCTGAGGAGACTGGGGCTCAGAGAGGTTAAGCAGCCTTCCCGGAGTCACACAGTGAAATGCAGACAGCTCTAGGACAGCTCGAACTTCTGGCTTTGGTTCGAGCCTGGCTGACTGTCTCATGCCGTCTACAGAGCCACCACCTCTTCCCAGAGAGTGAGCTCTCTGTCACTGCGTGGCTCAAGCAGAAGATGGGTGCCTGTCCGTCAGGAGGCTGCCTGGGACTCAGGGGTGGCCTGAACATCTGCCTGTCACCTCGGTTTCTTGAAGTCGGGGCTGGGATTCGGGGGAGCCTGGCCCGGCCTTGTGGTGTCTGGAGAGGGTGTGAGTGAGACCCAGGCAGCCAGGGCTGGATGACAAGAGCCAGGGAGGGGATTCGGGCTGTTGCTGCCCAGGAGGGCTCCCCGGCGAGTGAGAGACATGTGGAGCCAGGGCATTTGGCAGAAGTCGTTACCAGGAGCCGGTCCCACCTTCTCTGGGCCTCAGGTTCCCCATCTATACGGTAGAAGAGTGCACTCCGTGATCTTCCAGGTGGTAGATTTTCCTCTGGAATCAGAGGGCGAGGGCCAGGGAAGAGCCGGAAACAGGTGCCTTAACAAGTTTATAGCCTTTAGCCCTGTAACTCTCTTTGTAGGAGTCTATCCTAAGTAAATAGTTACCAGTACAGAAAGATATGTGCAAAATTTTCTTTTTTGTGTTAATTTATAATAGCGAATAATTGGAAATGATTAATTGCCATTAGTGGGAGGTTGGCTACATATGGTGCATTAATTCAACAGAAGACTACGGGGCTGTTGAAAATCACATTTCCTCGGATTTGTACTGACCTCAGTAAATGCCTGTGCTAATTAGAAGAGAATTGATTACTTATCACATGCCCCCTGCCCCCAAACCCCAAATTCATCCTCAGGAAATCCTTTGAAGGGCATTTGATCAATTTAAGGCCCCTTATTTTCACATTCTAGCACTGAAATAGAAATGAGTGTCACAATTGATGGCATTTTAGGATCAGTGGAGCCTGTCACCTCCACAGGGACCTACAAGCCAGTAAGAGGCACAGTGGGTGTTTGAATCCGAGTGTACTTCCCTCCAAAGCCAAACTCTGACCACTATGCTATACCAGCTTTGCTGTTTATACAAATCTATAAGCATAGGCGGGAACCCACTGGAAGAAAAGTCAGCCCAGTCTGGGAAATGTTTATGTCTGGGCTGTAGAACTACGGAGATTGTTGTTCTCTCCTTTATGCTCTTGGCATGCATGCCCAGGCTCCACCACGAGCCCTCGCCCTCGCCAGGCCTGGCTGATGATGGAGAGACAATAGCATCATTGCGGAGTGGGCAGGGCCTGCCCCTGAGCCTGGCCAGCCTGAGGCAAGGCCCTGGCTCCTGGTGGAGGTCTGACCCCGGCCCCCTCTCCTCCTGCAGGTACCTCTACAACCGCATGGGCTACTGGAGTGACTGGTCCGTGCCCATCCTCATGACCGCAGCCACCGCCTTCATCTACATCGCGGGCCTCCTGGTAGGCGGGGCTGGCCCTGCTCCCGGGAGGGGCGGCATGGCCTGTGCAGGGCTGATGCAGAGGCCTGCCCGGGGCTGATGGAGGGAAGCTGGCTTTCCCCTTCTCTTGGCTGCTGCACCCTCAGGGGCTTGGCTCCTTCAAGGTGGGAGGTCGCCTTGCTTCTACCCCATCCTGCAGTGTCCTCACAGACCGCCCCCCCCCCCCCCCCCCCCCCCCACCTAGAGGGAGGCCTCTGCTCTTAGGAGCCGCTGCAGACTTCCTCTTCCTGGAACTTCTGCTTTGGTTCCTGCACCCAGAGCCCTATTCCCTCAGACTCTGGTCAGTCCCTTTGTTGGATGGGGGGCTCCTTGGGGCCTGGAACTCCTACAACATGACTTGAGCAGTCCCAGGGCAGCAAGGCCGAGGGAGAAATCCTAGAGGAGGAGGAGGAGCGGGAGGCCTGGAAGAATTTGGGAGGAGGCCAGGCGTGGGCCAGGCTGGGCTTTCCCATTGCCTGTGGGGAGGGTTTGTTGACTTTTCTGAGCCAGATCCAGAGCTGAGTGGGGAGAAGCATGTCTGGGAATTGGCGGAAACCTTTGAGCCACACGTGGAGGCTGACGGCCGCCCTGTGGCCCCTCCTCAGGTCCTGGCGCTGTGTCACATCGCCGTGGGGCAGCAGATGAACCTGCACTGGCTGCACAAGGTAGGGGCTCCTCCACGAGGTCCGAGGGGGGAGGAGGCCGGCACATCGCCCCTCCTCGGGGGCCCGGTTACGATTGTTCTGGTAGCTCACACTCCGTACTCTCTCTGTGCCCAGCACTGTCCTCCCGGCCTGGCCTGTATGAACTCATTTAACTCTCACAGTAGCCCTATGTTGTAGGTACTGTTATCCTATTTTGCAGCTGGAAACACTGAGGTACAAAGCGGTTAAGTAAGTTGCCCAAGGTCTCCCACTTTGCCAGTGGAGGATCCAGGGTCCTCACCCCGTAGCCGCGCAGGGAGCCAGCACGGGGTCCCACGGGTGGGGCTCTGCCTCGGGTCGCACCCTCTCCTCATTCCGCAATGAGCTCATCCTGAAACCGACCCAGCTTAGCGTCCTTTCCACCACTCCCATTGCTCCCAGGCGGACCCCCCCCCCTCCCCGCCCAGCATGACGGCCCCCATGACTTGGCCCTGCTGAGGCCTCCCAGCTGCCATCATGGGTCGCTCACCCCCAGCTCTGGATGAGACATCGCAGGCCCTGCCAGCATGGCTGTCTCTCCTCTACTTTACCTCCTCACTCTCGCCTCCCTCTGTCTCCCTCCGGCCCTTCCTTGGTTCTCCACCCCCTGCCCAGGATGCTTGGACTCCCCAGCCCCTGCAGGGCCCGCCCGCCACCACAGCCTGCAGGTCCACGTTGTCCGTTGCTGGTTCCCTCTGGCGCCCTGACCTCGGCCCTCCCCAGTCTGGGAGCTTCTTGCAGACCAGGAGGACTGGCTTTGCCCATCTCTGTCCCTGGCGCCTCACTGGGTGCTGGGCCCAGCACAGGGAGGCTTCGGAGAATCAGGGCCTCGGCCCTCTTGGCCCTCTTGCTGCTTGTCGCCTGCACGGTGCTGAGTGCACCAGCCTGACGCCTGCTCTTGAGGCCCCAGGGGTCGCAGGGGTGGCACAAAACTGACCGAGAGAGAGCCCTTTCCTCGCAGGAGCACCTGGGCCATGGAGGGAGGGCTCGGCCGTCTCTCTTTTCCCAGAGCCTGGCTCAGAGTGGCCGTGCCGTTTAGGACGGGGCAGACATGTCTGGAAATAACCATGAGCCCATGGGTGGGTCCAGAGTGACTCTGAGGAGAAGAGGGACGTGGAGCAGGAGCTGGAAGGAAGACATAGTGAGTCCGAATTGGGCTGCGTAGGGGGAGGTGCCTGAGGGCATCTGAGGGGCCTTGGAGATCAGGAGCTGGGGAGCCAGACTGGGGACTGGGGTCTTGGAGGGTGAAGAGCAGCCAGCAGCCCCTGGGTCCCACCTCCGCCTGCTTGTCACTCTACCCAGAGGCCTCCTCTGGGCTTGGGAAGTCCCCTCTGTGCGGCACTTTTATCTCCCGGCTGCAAAGCTGACACTTGAAAGAACCGCACCAGATGGCACCTGGGTGGGGCTGGCTCACACCGCGGTCACCTCCTCTAGTCACGCCTGGTCCTCAGCAGGTCACACCTGCTCGGTCCTGGTGGAGAGGCCTCCGGAGGCGCGGAGCCGGCAGGGGCGCAGCTCACTGCCCGGATTCTTCTCCTGGGTGGGGGATCAGATCCCTTCATCTGCACGGAGCCAGCTCCGGTGCCAGCCCTGACTTCCTGCCCCTCTGCCCCTGCCCATGAGATCTCAGCGTGAGGAAGGTCCAGCCGGAGCTGATGCACAGCTGGACCCATTGCACCAGGAGGGAGGCAGCTCCCTGGGGCTGAGTTTTCAAGTAGGTGCTAGACACCCTTCTGTTCTGTTTCCAATATTCTACCATTTGAGTAGGAGATGCTAAGGAATCCTTGTCCTTTTTTTGTTTTAACCAATTTTTGACCGTCTGATACATTGACATGGTTCGAAATTAGGTACAAAAAAGTACACAATGTAAGTCTCCCTACTCTCTCTCCAAAGTATTGTAAGCATATACACATATTCATATACTAGTACACTTCCTTTTTCCTTTTCTTTACACACAAGCCTCTATACCCTCCATTTCTTACGTTAACAAAACTCTTGGAGCACCTCCCTCTCAGGCCATTGAGAGCTTCCATTGTCCAGCCCCTGCTCCTGTCCCCGTGTTTAACCCTGAGTCCCAAGGTATCTAGTCGGCCCCCTGATGACATCCCAGTTGCTTTTTAAATATATGTTTATAATATATATATTTTTTATAATATATATTTTTTATTTCAGAGAGGAAGGGAAAGGGAGAGAGATATAGAAACATCAACGATGAGAGAGGACCATCGATCGGCTGCCTCCTGCACGCCCCCTACTGGGGATCGAGCCCACAACCGGGGCATGTGCCCTGACCTTGAATGGAACCGTGACCTCCTGGTTCATAGGTCAATGCTCAACCACTGAACCACACTGGCCGGGCCCCAGTGGCTCTTAATTCATTGCCAGGACCATGTGATCTGTGTGGGGAATTCTACAGTATGTTTTTGTGACTGTGATAGTTCTTGTCAAATCGCCTCCTTGCCAAGGGCCACCAGTCCATGCTCCCTTGCCCATGAAGTGTTCGAAGATGTCTGGGCTTGAGCCCACTAATGGGTGAGCCTAGCCCCTTGGTGTCATTTTGATTTGCATTTCCCAGATGATGCGTTAGATTCAGCATCTCTCATGTGCTTGAGTCACTTGCATGCTCTTTTCCGTAAGCTGTCTCTTCATATCTTTTGCCTTTTTGCTACAGGATTTGCTTTTTGCTTATTAATTTGCAGGAGTCCTTTACAGATTCCGAAAACCCGCCCTTTGGCTGATGAACTGCAATAACTCTTCCTCGTGTGTCACTCCGCCTCTGACTTTGCTTGCTGTGGTTTTGCCGTGGGAATTTTTTGTTCTTAAGGATGTGACTCTGTCTTCTCTATTTATGGCTCCTGGCTTTTGTGTCAGAGTCTTTCCCACTCTGATTATAACAAAGGTCTCCGTGGCATTATTTGATAGTTACATGTTTCTACTTTTAATAACATTTAAAATTTTAACATTTTGGAAGTTACTTTCAGGTATAGGATGGTCTTACTTTCTTCTTCTTAGATGGTTTCCCCGTTCCTATCTATTGAGAAATATACTCTTTCCCTTCTAATTGGAGATGCCACTTTTATATATGCTGATTTTTTTTTTTTTTAATCCTCACCCGAGGATATTGCTCCATTGATTTTTAGAGAGAGTGGAGGGAGGGGGAGAGACAGAGAGAGAGGAGCATCGATGTGAGAGAGACACATCAACTGGTTGCCTCCCGCACACAGCCCCAGGGCTGGGGATAGAGCCTACAACGGAGGTACATGCCCTTGACCGGAATTGAACCCAGGACCCTTCAGTCTGCAGGCCGACGCTCTATCCACTGAGCCAAACCAGCTAGGCAGTGGTCGGCAAACTGCGGCTCACAAGCCACATGCGGCTCTTTCGCCCCTTGAGTGTGGCTCTTCTGCAAAATACCGACTTCTGCGCACGGGCCACGAAGTTTCAATCGCACTGTACATGCGCGCCCGCACGTGGTATTTTGCGGAAGAGCCACACTCAAGGGGCGAAAGAGCCGCAGTTTGCCAACCACTGAGCTAGGGCGTATGCTGATTTTTAAAATCTGTTTAGATCTGTTTTTGAGCTTTTTATTTACTTCCGTTTATCTCTCTGCTCTTATATCAGCATCTAACTGCTTTACATACTACAGCTTTACACTGTGTTTTCATCAAGATCTTTATTTTGAGAGTCCCTGGCTCCCCCGAGTCCTGAGCAGGGGAGGGCTGGGGAGTAGGTGCCAGGACGTGCCAGGCACTGTGCTCATCGTGACAGCCGTGCCCGTCGCTGAGTGGGCACTCACTCTGTGTGTCGGGCGCGTGCCACACAGTATCCCGTGTTCTCCGCGTAACCATCCTGTTCGCCTGCTGCTCGGCCCACTTTTAGAAATGACACCACTCGCAGGTAGTGAGCATTTACTGCTTTAGCGCCAACCACTGCGCTAAGCACCTCCCTTGTACTCTCTCGTTTCTCTTCCCCAGGACCCGTGGGGTCCGCACTCGCTCTCCCCGTTTCACAGCCCAGGAGCCCTGCTCCGAGAGGCCCACCTCCCCCTTAGGCAGCAGAGCTGGGATGTGCTGGTGGATTTATCCAGTGTGTCCCTGAGCCCCGGCCAACCAGCTGCTACCGAACCCAGATTCTAGCCACCACCGCCCCCCCCCACCCGCCTGCCCCCAGGAGGCCAACCTGTGGCACCTTTGCGAGGTGGGGCTCCCACTCCTCTTGGGTGCCAGCACCCAGCAACGCTCACCGAACAAGTGGATGCAGCCCCCGTGTCCCTGTCCTTCCCACTGTCCTCACACACCACAGTCTCACCAGCACGGAGACCAAAGGCCGGTTCTCAGGACAGCGGCTGCCTCTGGGCTTCTGGGGGCCTTCTCCCTCCCAGTCAGGTGGGAGGAATGGCGGTCCCGCTGCTGGGATTCAGTGCTGTTCTTGTGGCTTAAGGACACGCGTGGGGGAGTCCCTCAGACAGCGGGCATTGCAGCCACGCTGCTGCACACAATGGTGCCACCACAGCAACGGCAGAACTCATCATCAAAGTTTTAATTGCCTGAGGGTTGTGGGGAATTTGTTTAATTTCCACTAGCAATTACACGTTGCCATAAGGTGCTCTCAGCAACGACCCTTCAGAGACGCTGGCTGTGCCCAGCGCCTGCCTGGCAGGGCAGCGGGGGGCAGGCGCCTGCGCAGTGAGGGCGCTCTCAGGGGTGGTTGGGACACTGGGCTTCCCGCAGTGCAGCATGACCTCTGACCCAGGCAGAATGGGGTTTGGGTCCAGATCCACCCCCTCGACGCTTCCCGACCAAGCAAACCCTATGGTCTCTGAGCCCAGTTTCTCTGTATAAAATGAAGATAGGGCCTCACCTGGGACGTTAGGAGAATAAACATGAGGAAAACCGGGGACCTGCTTCCCCTTCCCATCTCCCCAGGCAGGCAGGCCAGTGGCTGAAGGCCCCGCCTGGCTCAGCCTTATTGCTCTGCTTATTGGAACATTTGTTTCCAGCCTGATGGGCTGGCATGACAACCCCGCAGAGGAAAACTTCATCCCAGGCCGGAACGAGATGGATCTGCCCGCCTCTGCCCTCACCACCTAGAAGCCCATTCAGAGCTTGTCCCGGCTGGAGGGTGGTCAGAGCACTGCTGAGAGGGGCTAGACTGGCCCTGCAGGAAGAGAGAGAGGGGAAGGCCGCTGGCCGGCAGCGAGGACAGTGGGGGCAGGGGGTGGTGGCCTGGCTGCCCGGCCCCTTAGGGAGAGCAGGGTAGGGCTGTGGGTAGAGGTGTCACCTGGGCACTACCTGGCCTGCCTGGCGTGCAGGGAGGTGTGCAGAGTGAGTGCCACGGGGTGGGGGGGTGGGGGGAGGTCTCTGGAGACTAAGTAGCCAGACACCAGACTTCGCTTAGTTTGGGGGAGCATCTGATGTGCATGAGATGGCCCAGATCCCCTCTGTCCCCAGAGACCTCTGTCCTGTGAAGTCCCCTCTAGTCTTCCATCAGGACTGGGCTTGCTTTCTCCAGGAGCAGCTGGGAGGGCAGCCCCGGTGACACCTAGAGACTGGGGGCTCGGAGGCTGGGGCTGAGGGCAGGCCTCTGCCATGGGCTGGGGCTGAACGCTCTCCCACCTCTGTCTGCTCAGCCTGAAGGGCCATGTGGGCCTGGCCGGCAGGGGACACGCTGTCCTGGGCATCAGGCTCCCACAGGGACCTGGCTCCTCAGCCTCCTGCCCCTGTGGTCCAGACAGCTCACCCTTCACTCCAAAGGTTGCTGGCAGGGCTGGGGAGGGCCTTGGCTGGCCCCTGCTGGGCCCAGGAGAGCCTGGACGCCTCAGTTAGGAGGGGTGTCTTCCCTCCTCACACCCTCCCTGGGGCTGAGCCAGGGCTTCACCTCCACCTTGCTCCAGCTCCTCCCACCTCTCCACCCCCTCCTGTGTCTCTTGGTCCTTGTCTCTTCTTACCTGGCTCTGTGTCCTCCTCCTGCCTCTGTCTCTCGCTGTCATCTGTGTCTCTTGCTGTCATCTCTGTCTCTCGCTGTCCTCCCTGTCTCTCGCTGTCCTCTCTGTCTCTCGCTGTCCTCCCTGTCTCTCGCTGTCATCTCTGTCTCTCGCTGTCCTCCTGTCTCTCGCTGTCATCTCTGTCTCTCGCTGTCCTCTGTCTCTCGCTGTCCTCCCTGTCTCTCGCTGTCCTCCCTGTCTCTCTCTGTCCTCTCTGTCTCTCGCTGTCATCTCTGTCTCTCGCTGTCCTCTCTGTCTCTCGCTGTCCTCTCTGTCTCTCGCTGTCATCTCTGTCTCTCGCTGTCCTCTCTGTCCTCCCTGTCTCTCGCTGTCATCTCTGTCTCTCGCTGTCCTCTCTGTCCTCTGTTCATCCCTGTCCGCAGTCATCTCTGCCTGTCTCTCGCTGTCTCTGTCTCTCGCTCTCCTCTCTGTCTCTCTCTGTCCTCCCTGTCTCTCGCTGTCCTCCCTGTCTCTCGCTGTCCTCTCTGTCTCTCGCTGTCCTCTCTGTCTCTCGCTGTCATCTCTGTCTCTCGCTGTCCTCTCTGTCCTCCCTGTCTCTCGCTGTCCTCCCTGTCTCTCGCTGTCATCCGTGTCTCTCGCTGTCCTCCCTGTCTCTCGCTGTCCTCCCTGTCTCTCGCTGTCCTCCCTGTCTCTCGCTGTCCTCCCTGTCTCTCGCTCTCCTCTCTGTCTCTCGCTGTCCTCCCTGTCTCTCGCTGTCCTCCCTGTCTCTCGCTGTCCTCCCTGTCTCTCGCTGTCCTCCCTGTCTCTCGCTGTCCTCCCTGTCTCTCGCTGTCATCCGTGTCTCTCGCTGTCCTCCCTGTCTCTCGCTGTCCTCCCTGTCTCTCGCTGTCCTCCCTGTCTCTCGCTGTCATCTCTGTCTCTCGCTCTCCTCTCTGTCTCTCGCTGTCCTCCCTGTCTCTCGCTGTCCTCCCTGTCTCTCGCTGTCCTCCCTGTCTCTCGCTGTCCTCCCTGTCTCTCGCTGTCCTCCCTGTCTCTCTCTGTCCTCCCTGTCTCTCGCTGTCCTCTCTGTCTCTCGCTGTCATCTCTGTCTCTCGCTGTCCTCTCTGTCTCTCGCTGTCCTCCCTGTCTCTCGCTGTCCTCCCTGTCTCTCGCTGTCCTCCCTGTCTCTCGCTGTCCTCTCTGTCTCTCGCTGTCCTCCCTGTCTCTCGCTGTCCTCCCTGTCTCTCGCTGTCCTCCCTGTCTCTCGCTGTCCTCCCTGTCTCTCTCTGTCCTCTCTGTCTCTCGCTGTCCTCTCTGTCTCTCGCTGTCATCTCTGTCTCTCGCTGTCCTCTCTGTCCTCCCTGTCTCTCTCTGTCCTCCCTGTCTCTCGCTGTCCTCTCTGTCTCTCGCTGTCATCTCTGTCTCTCGCTGTCCTCCCTGTCTCTCGCTGTCATCTCTGTCTCTCGCTCTCCTCTCTGTCTCTCGCTGTCCTCCCTGTCTCTCGCTGTCCTCTCTGTCTCTCGCTGTCATCTCTGTCTCTCGCTGTCCTCCCTGTCTCTCGCTGTCCTCCCTGTCTCTCGCTGTCATCTCTGTCTCTCGCTGTCATCTCTGTCTCTCGCTGTCCTCCCTGTCTCTCGCTGTCATCCCTGTCTCTCGCTGTCCTCTCTGTCTCTCGCTGTCATCCCTGTCTCTCGCTGTTTTCCCTGTCTCTCGCTGTCATCTCTGTCTCTCGCAGTCTCAGCTTCTTTCAGTCTGTGCTGTCTCTCTCCTGCTCCCCCTTTCCTGCTTTGTCTGCCTCTTCTGCGCTCTCATCTCCTCCCATGGTCCCGGCCTCTCCCCCTGCTCTCCCTCTCAGACACACTGGGGCCCTTGGCCTGCCCAGCCACACCTGCTCTTCCCCTTCCAGATGGGGCTGGTGGTCATCCTGGTGTCCACGGTGGTGGCCATGTCGGCCATGGCCCAGCTGTGGGAGGACGAGTGGGAGGTGCTGCTCATCTCCCTGCAGGTGAGTGAGGTTGGGGTGGGGCTCCCCTCAAACACTCAGAGGAAGGCAGCGTGTCTCTTTATCACATGATTTCCTCAGACCAAGACCCCACGGGGGCAGGAGGGGCCCAGGTCTCAGCAGGTCAGGGGAGGGAGGGTGACAGCCCAGGGTCCCAACGCCCAGTGTCTCCGGGGTGCCCTGCCCCGTGGACAGAGACGGGCCACCAGGGTGTTGGTGGCCAGAGGGTCTGGCATGGCTGGGAGTCAGTGGTGCCTCTTGCCCCTCGCACACAAGGGCACAGCTCCGTTCCTGCACATGGGGGCCCTGGCTGCCATCACCGCGCTCTCCTGGATCGTGGCAGGACAGTTCGCCCGGGCAGAGCGGTCCTGTAAGTACGACTGGGCAAGACCTGCCCCCCAGCCCCGCCCTCCCCTAGATGTTCCTTGGGTGCCCTGGGAGGAGTGGGGGGCCTTGCTCTCGGCGTGGCCGTGGGGTCCATGGAGGGCTGCAGCTCCAGTCAGCAGTGTCCACTTCCTCGTCTGTGTCTGTGTGTGAGTCAGAGGCCAGGGTCCCCTCTCTCTGGTCACGGTGGGGGCTGCCCTTAGTGCAGGGTCTCTTCAGAGCATGTGTGTCCTGACACTGGAGGGGACAGGGGTCTCCCACAACCTGCCCAGGGCTCATGGTCGGGCCTGTTGGGAGCTGAGCACTCACGGGCGGTGCTCTCGCCTGTGCCCACAGCCTCCCAGATGGCCATCCTCTGCACCTTCTCCGCCGTGGTGTTTGCCCTCTACCTGGCCCCTCTCACCATCTCCTCTCCCTGCATCATGGAGAAAAAGGACCTGGGCCCCAAGCCCGCCCTCATTGGCCACCGCGGGGTCCCCATGGTGAGTGCCCCTGAAGGCCCTGACAGGGGAGGGGCGGGAGCAGAGCTGCTGTTCTAGAGGAGATGAGCAAAGACCTGTCTCCTTGTAGGGAGGGACTTGCAGGGAAATGAGGAGGATGCATGGGGTGAAATACTACAATCTTCAGCCTTCGGAGGGAATGTGGGAAGGGCTGATGAGAGGCTGAGAGCGGGTGGGCTAGGAAGACCCGGGAGAGGGCTGCCGGGTGGGGTGGAAGCAGGGCTGCCTGCAGGCTGTGACCGGGCTGTGGGGCAGGAGAGGCGGGCGCAGCCCAGAGCCCACTGCCAAAGGGAAGACTGTTCCAGCTGAACTGGGCAGAAATGGGAGAGAAAGGAGTCCGAGTCAGTGGCAGCCCCTCTGCTAACGCCCTGTGACCCCGCAGGGCCTCCCCTCGAGTGGGCGTCCTCCAGAGCCGGCTTCCTCCGCCCCCTGGCGGCTCTGGGAGCCTGACTGACTCCATCTTCTCTGGGCCAGTTTCCTCATCTTGTGCCCTGAGATTCCGAGAGCCTAGGCCAGGGGTGGGCAAACTTTTTGACTCGAGGGCCACAATGGGTTCTTAAACTGGACCGGAGGGCCGGAACAAAAGCATGGGTGGAGTGTTTGTGTGAACTAATATAAATTCAAAGTAAACATCCTTCCTATCTAATAAAAGAGAAACATGGTAATTAGCGTACGACCGCTACCCTTCCCATTGGCTAATCAGGGCAATATGCAAATTTACTGCCAGCCAAGATGGCGACCAGCAGCCAGGCAGCTTGAAACTAATATGAGGCTTGCTTGCTTCAGTGACGGAGGACTCCAATGTTCCCCGCCTGCCGCTGCAGGCCTCTGAGCTGCAACTCTAAGCAACTATGTTACAAATATAGAAGCTAAACAAAACCCCAGAAACCTGCTTTAGTCTGCCGGGCTTCAGCCAGCAGGATCACAACATTGTAAGCAAAGGCCAGAAACCTACTTTCAGCAGCGGAGGCCTAAGAGCTGGAGCCAAGCCTCAAAGCTAAAGCTGGCCCAGAATAGAAAAAAAGAAAAAAAGGAGCAGTTGGGAGCTTTAGTCACCCCCAGCCTGAAAACAGCCCTCAGCCCCTCACCCAGACTGGCCAGGCACCCCAGTGGGGACCCCCACCCTGAAGGGTGTGTGACCAGCTGCAAACAGCCATCATCCCCTCACCCAGGCTGGCCAGGCACCCCAGTGGGGACCCCCACCCTGAAGGATATGTGACCAGCTGCAAACAGCCATCATCCCCTCACCCAGGCTGGCCAGGCACCCCAGTGGGGACCCCCACCCTGATCCAGGACACCCTTCAGGGCAAACCAGCCAGCACCCACACGTGCACCAGGCCTCTACCCTATATAGTAAAAGGGTAATATGCCTCCCAGCACCAGGATCAGTGGAGCCGCACGGCCTCCCGGCACCGGGATCAGTGTGACAGGGGGCAGTGCCCAAACCCCCTGATCGCCCTGCGGCCCTGTGTGTGACAGGGGGCGGGGCCACAACCTCCCTATCCACCCTGCTCTGTTCATGACAGGGGAAGGTGCCCCAACCCCCCCCCCCCCCACGGGTCCTGCTCTGTATGTGACGGGGTAGAGCCATAACCTCCCCATCGGCCCTGCCCTGAGTGTGAGAGTGGTGGCGCCCCAACCCCCTGATCGGCCCTGCTCTGTGGGTGATAGAGGGCGGCGCCCCAACCCCCGGATTGGCCCTGCTCTGTGCGTGACAGGGAGCGGCGCCCCAACCCCCTGATCGGCCCTGCTCTGTGGGTGATAGAGGGCGGCGCCCCAACCCCTGGATTGGCCCTGCTCTGTGCGTGACGGGGTGGTGCCGCTACCTCCCCATCGACCCTGCTCTGAGCCTGACCAGGGGCTGCACCTAGGGATTGGGCCTGCCCTCTGCCACCCGGGAGCAGGCCTAAGCCAGCAGGTCGTTATCTCCCAAGGGGTCCCAGACTGCGAGAAGGCACAGGCCAGGCTGAGGGACCCCCCTCCCCCCCGAGTGTACAAATTTTTGTGCACCGGGCCTGTAGTCATTACATAAAAGGGTACGGTCTTTTCTTTTTTTAGTTTTATTCATTTCAAACGGGCCGGATCCGGCCCGCGGGCCGTAGTTTGCCCACGGCTGACCTAGGCCGAGGGCCTTCGAGGCAGGACACACAGCACGTGGGAGGTGCTCAGCTGTGAGCCTGGGAGACGCCCCTGTTACCTTGGGCAGCCCTCCCCCTTCTCTGGGCCAGGTTTCCTCTCCTTGAACCTGGGTTCTCTGCAGAGGGAGTACCACTCCCCCCCTCAGCGGGGACTTTGCGAGAGCTTTTTCTTGGCTGTCACAGTGACTGGGAGGCCCGTGGTGTTGAATTTCAGGGGAGCCCAGGGGCCCTCCCACCAAACCCTGCTCTGGTCACAGTACCTCCTGGAGGCAATGAGCTGGACGGGCCATGGCTTTGGAGTCGGAGGGACTGGTTTGGGGTCTGGTTTTGCCATGTGCTCCTGTGTGTGTCAAGGGTCACCTGTCCTCTCTGAGCCTCATGCCCTGTCTATGGAGAGAGAGAGACACACAGCCTTCCCAGACCGAGGGTGCTGAGGGAGGGGAGCGGCCAGGGAAGGAGCAAGGTGGCCCAGCCTGGATTATTATTTCAGTAGAAAATGTTCAAACAATCACAGACATAGAAAGAGTGACGTAATGAAGAATAGACAGAGTAATGAATCCAGTACCACCTTCAACATTCATCCGTGCTTTGTTATTCTTATTTCATCTTTCCCTACTTTTCTTTTTTCTACTGTAACATTTTATTTTCTTTTTAATCTTTTAAAATTTTTATTGTTGAAAACTAGAGGCCCAGCGCATGAAATTCGTGCATGGAAGAGGGGTCCCTCAGCCCGTCCCGCACCCTCTCACAATCCTGCCTGCCTGATCACCCCTAACTATTCGCCTGCCTGCCTGATTGCCTCTAACCACCTCTGCCTTGGCCCCCGCCACTGTGGCTTCATCCAGAAGGTTGTTTGGCTGTCCAGTCTAATTAGCATATTATGCTGTTATTATTATAGATACTACATATGTCCCTTTTTTCCCCTATCGACCCAATCCAGCCCACTCCCACCCCCGCCCCCACCCCAGGCCTTCACCGCCCCACTGCCCGTTTCCATGGGTTATGCACATATGCATACAAGGTCTCTGGTTGATTACCTCCCACCCAGCCCTTCTCCCCTGCCTTCCGAGATCCCACACTCTGTCTGCTGTAATATTTTAAACCAGATCTCAGACATGGTATAATTTAGCCATACTTCAGGGTGTATCTCTAACCATAACACATAAGGACTTCTTTCTTTTTTTAACATGACCACAACCACAATGCTGTTATAACACCTAACCAATTAATAATGTTGAACCCATGCTCGGTTTTCCTTTATCTCAGAAATATCTGTTTACAGTTTAGTTGTTAAAAATCAGAATCCACTGGGGTCCAGCCAGCACATCTGGCTGACCTCTCTTCTGAGTACATTTAGTTGTTTAGTTGCTGTTTAGTTGTTGAAGGAACAGTCATTTGTCCCGTGGAATTTCACACATTGTGCCTGTTCTTGGGGCGTTTTCTGAGGGGCTGGCAAAGGCATCAGCACAACTCGGTGTGTTGCTGCGATCCCGTGCACATCCCCCTGTGGTGGGCTTTGACTCGGTACATACATCTGGGTGTGATAAGTCCAAGTGCACATCCCTGTCTTGGACGGTGCCCATGTGCCCTTCCTATGCGAGTGCCTGAGAGTGTGCACACATGCACACTTTAATATTTGGTTGGACTAACTCCAAAGCTTGGACTTTTAGCCACAGAGGCCTGCCCACTTGAGTTTGTGACATGCCTCCCCCCGCCCACCCCCACCACCACCATCCCTCTACACACACACACTCCTGACAGCAGAACCACACGTGGGCTTAGGCCAGAGGCATTGAGAGCCCCAAGATGGGGATTAGCAAGTCACCTGAGTGCACACATACTTCTCGGGGTCCTCCTGGAGTCCCAGGACTGGCCAGGGAGGGCCAGCTTTCCATGCCTTTTCTCTAGGAGGCCAGCACTTAGCAAAGGGAGAGCCGAGTTGAAAAAAGCCTCGAGAAAGAGACTTTGCCCCTTCCAAACACTTCCTCGGGCCACCCACAGCCTCCCTCTGCAGCCCCAGCCCGAGCAGGAGAGAGCAGTGACCCATCCTGGGTGGTCACTCGTGGAGACCTGGCCACAGGACCCTCGTGCTCTCTCCAGACGCCTCTGTGGCCCTGCCCCACCTCTGGGCGAGGCCTCACACAGCCCATTTCCCTGGGAGACAGGGCTGCTCCTCACCAGGGAAAGGGGGAGAAAGAAACTCAAATGATAGAGCCCACTGATGTCTGTTATACCACCCATGAGCTTGATAATATTAGCCCATTTTACAGCTAAAGAAACTGAGGTTCCACAAGGGGAAGTGATGGCCCAGGACTGGGAAATGGTATTGCGCCTTCTCAGCTCCCAAGCCCTTTCCGCCCCAGGCTACCTCCCAGACGAGGGTGGTGTGATACATGTTGGGGAACCGCACAGCCAGGGGGAGAGAGAATGGGAATGACCTTGTCTTGGTGGGAATGAGATCAGCCATGGGGACCCTTTCCACCTCATCCCTTTGTAGCCAGGAGCCCTCCCTCGCCATCTTCCTTGTGCTGCTCCTGCTCCTACCCCAGTGATGGCGAACCTATGACACGCGTGTTAGAGGTGACACGCGAACTCATTTTTTTGGTTGACTTTTCTTTGTTACATGACATTTAAATATAAAAAAATAAGTCTTTGTTTTACTATGGTTGCAAATATCAAAAAATGTCTATATGTGACACGGCACCAGAGTTAAGTTAGGGTTTTTCAAAATGCTGACACGCCGAGCTCAAAAGGTTCGCCATCACTGTACCTAGCCCAGCCCTTGGTGTGGTGCTGACCCCCAGTGGCAGCAAAGGGTATGACAGAGTCCTCAAACCAGCTAGAACTAGGGAAACTTAAAACCTCCACTCTCCCAAGTAGAGCGAGCCTTAACGCAGAGTGAATATGCTCTCTCAAGGGGCATGTGGGGAACCTGGGGTCTATGAGAGAAATGGATGCACCACCCAAGGCCACACACTGGTTGACGGTAGAGTCAGAGCTAGAACCAGGCTTTTCGGATGTGGATGCTGTAAGGTTAGCAGTTGTCACTCCTTATTGTGTATCAGCCAACATGCTGGGACTTTCGACCCAGGTAACAGTCAGGAGATGGTCTTGTCACCTTCTGCACAGAGGGGAAGACCAGCCGCCCCCTGAAACTGCTGCCGATCGACCCTCTCCTCTCGCTCTGGGACCTCTACCTGGACTCGGGGGATAACAGGGGAAACTTGGCATTCACCCCCCCCCCCCGGCCCAAGACTGCCATAGGCAGAGGACTGTACCCCACATTTATATACACCAACCCTAACCACCCCTGCTCCCCACTCCCACCCAGAAAGCCTGCGGGGCAGGCGCGATTTAACAGAGGCAGCGGCTGAGCCCCGTCACACGGTATTGCCTGGAGGAGTTGGAGCGAGAACCAGGCCCAGCATGGAAGATCTGCCCTTGGCTGGGGAGGTGCACGTGAGCTGAATCTCAGCTCTCCCTCTACCCCCTTTCCCGGCAGCTGGCCCCAGAGCACACGCTGATGTCCTTCCGGAAGGCCCTAGAGCATAAGCTGTACGGATTGCAAGCCGATGTCACCATCAGGTAGGCGCTGGGTTGTGAGGATGGTACCACCCCCCACATCGGGGTCCCCACTGGGGAAACCACGGGTCCCAGAGCCTCGGAGATGGGAGGGCAGAGGCTCGGATTATCCACTGCAGGGCAGGCACTGTGTTCGTGACATTAAATCTTGTGCCAAGTTCCAGAACAGAGGCTCTTGGTTGAAGCAGGCTGGGGGTTGGGAGCTGGAGTCCTGCCACAGAGCCGCCTGAAGGACAGACTAAGGACCAGGGCTCAGACAGATGGAGCCAAACACTCTGATAAGGGAAATGCGCACATTGCAGACTAGACGCTCACTGTGGTGTCAATTATATTTTAAAAGACCACATTAGAATGACTTACACAGCCCTGGCCAGTGTTGCTCGTTGGTTAGAGCGGTGGCCTGCGCACCGAAGGGTCTCAGGTTCGATTCCCAGTCAAGGACATGGACCTGGGTTGCAGGTTCGATCCCAGACCCTGGTGGGGGAGTGTGTGGGAAGCAACCAATTGATGTGTCTCTCTCACATCAATGTTCCTCTCTCCCTCCCTTCCACTACCTCTGAAAAGTAATGGGAAAAATATCCTTGGGTAAGCATTAATAGCAACAAAAACCAAAAAACCCTAAAATGACTTACACATTTTCTACACGTAGATACATGTGCGTATTAGTATAAAGGACAGGAACAACCCATACCCGTCTCATGACAGACCTCTGAGAAGGGGGAGGGGGAGGGGCAGGGCTGCCACGTACGCTGCACAGGGAGTGTACTGAGGGCACCACTTACCTCCCCAGTGTAGACATCTGGCATTATATATGGATCCAGACTTTCTAGTAGGTGGTGGTACAATACCTGAGGAAGGGGCAATGGGTGCCTTGTACTGTTTCCCACTAAGGGACCATATGGATTCAGGCCGTGGCAGTGGGGCGGGCCCGGTTGGTGGGGGGGGGGGGGGTAAAGCTTGCTGAAAGGGTCTGCGTTTGCACTGTTCTCATTATGGCATCGCACGGACTGGGTTCTGAGCCAGGTAGTGGATCTGGCTGTGGATCTGGAGCTAGGTACTTCCCTCTCCCGGCCTCAGTTCCCCCTTTATCAAATGAGGTAGCACCTACCGCCCGAAGTTGTAGGCCCAGCCTTCCCGCCTCAGCAGTCCCCACCCCCCTCTGGCCTTCATAGAGAACTTGAAGGAGTCACTCACCAGCCTACTGCCTTCCCTGTGCAAACGGGGAACCTGAGGCCCAGAGAGGGGCAGAGCCTGCAGGGTCCCCTGGCGGGCTGTTGTACGTGGGTGGGGGGCAGGGGTGATTCCTGGGGGCAGGTGAGGGGCCGGGTGGACAGTGACTCCGTGGCCCGCCCCCTTGCAGCCTGGACGGCGTGCCCTTCCTCATGCATGACACCACGCTGCGGCGCACCACCAACGTGGAGGAGGCGTTCCCCGAGCTGGCCCGCAGGCCCGCCTCCATGCTCAACTGGACTGTCCTGCAGAGGCTCAACGCCGGCCAGTGGTTCCTGAAGGTCTGGTGGCACCTGCCCCGGTCCGAGTGTGGAGAGCGTGGGCGGGGACCCCGTGCAGTGAGAGCGGGGCGGCCATCAGCTCAGGGGACCCCACTCCCCAGCGTCCCTCACAGCGGCTTGCTAGCGGCCCCCCGGGCTCTTGCCTCTGCAGCCCTGAGACCATGGTTGTCACTGCGTGTGCTGGTCTGTCCCCCACACCAGGAAACTGATGGTGACAATAGTTAAAATGGTCACCTTGGTAACACTCCATAGAGGGAAGTGGTTTCTCTGGTCTGGAATGTTACTCAAGGAGAAATGTGCTGGGGTCTGGGAGATGTTCCAAGCAAATAGTTCTTTTGGTAAGCAGGGTGTGGGGGAGAGGTGAGGGTGGGGTCTCCTAGAGCCCTGCCCAGGGTCACAGCCATCAACCCATCTGACACGCACGCTGGCAGCTCACGGGTCTCCGTGCTCAGGAGCCAGGAAGGCACGTGGGGGCCCCTCAGGTGCTGGTGAGGCAGCCATGTGTGTCCTTGTCTCTGCAGACGGATCCCTTCTGGACGGCCAGCTCCCTGTCCCCCTCCGACCACAGGGAGGCCCAGAACCAGTCCATCTGCAGCCTCGCTGAGCTCCTGGCGTTGGCCAAGGGCAATGCCACGCTGCTGCTCAACCTGCGCGACCCTCCCCGGGACCATCCCTACCGAGCCAGCTTCCTCAACATCACCCTGGAGGCCTTGCTGCGCTCCGGCTTCCCCCAGCACCAGGTGAGGCCGGGCGCCCGGCCAGCCTCCGGGACTCCGCATTAACTCACGGGCCCCCTCCGCAGACCTCAGCTTCCACATTTGTAAGATGGGGTACCATGCCCTCGCCTCCCTGACAGGGTCATTGTGGAGACCAGAGGGTAACAAGGAAGTCCCTTTTACTGCCAGGAAACAGTGCCCACATTCTCCTGGGGTAATATCTGGAGATCTGAGGAATCTCACACCAGCGTGTGACGCACACTAGATGCTGGTGGCCGCGTGCAGAGTAACTGGCATTTCACTATCAGTCATTGTGACCAGGGGCTAGGCTAGTGATGGCGAACCTATGACACGCGTGTTAGAGGTGACACGCGAACTCATTTTTTTTGGTTGATTTTTCTTTGTTAAATGGCATTTAAATATATAAAATAAATATAAAAAATATGTCTTTGTTTTACTATGGTTGCAAATATCAAAAAATTTCTATATGTGACACGGCACCAGAGTTAAGTTAGGGTTTTTCAAAATGCTGACACGCCGAGCTCAAAAGGTTCGCCATCACTGAGCTAAAGGGCAAGCTCCCTGGGTTATTGCCAAAGCAATTCCCAGCCTTGGCTGGGACCCAGTCATCCCCTGATTATGGTAATTACATGTTAGCTTTTCCACGTGTCAGGCCTGCCTGTCCTGTCTCTTTTCACCCTTCTAGGTGCTTTCGGAGGGGTAGGCTCAACCCATTTACAGATGAGAGATCTGAGGCTGCCCCCTCTCTGCCTGCAGGTCATGTGGCTGCCTAACAGGCAGAGGCCCTTTGTACGGAAGGTGGCTCCTGGCTTCCAGCAGACGTCAGGCTCCAAGGAGGAAGCTACCAGCCTCCATAGAGGCCACATCCAGTGGCTGAACCTGCGCTACACTCAGGTGTCCCGCCAGGAGCTCAGGTGCCCACCCCACCACCCCAGCTCAGCCAGAGGAGGGCAAGACTGAGTTCCTCCATACTGTCTGTCTGTCTCTTCCTCTCCCTTTCAAATGCACGCACACACACACACACACACACACACATACACACACATCTGGGCAGATGGTTAAGCACAGGGACTTCTGGCTCAAGGAGGAGACGTCAAGTGCATCAGGCAGACATGGGTTTGGCTCTGAGTTGGGCCCTCTGGGAGGAAGAGTCCTCTCTCGGGACAGGTGAGGATGGCATCACGCCTCACAGGCACCCAGACCCACAGGCGGACCAGTCTGTGCCTTACCCACAGGGACTATGCATCCTGGAACCTGAGTGTGAACCTCTACACGGTCAACACGCCGTGGCTCTTCTCCCTGCTGTGGTGCATGGGGGTCCCCTCCGTCACCTCCGACAACTCCCACACTCTGTCCCAGGTGCCTTCCCCGCTCTGGATCATGGTGAGTTGGGGGACTGCTGGGGGCAGAGGGCACCTGGGGGGAGTTGAGAGCTTCCAATGACACCCAGGAGGGTGCAGACTCCACTTGGGGTCTCTGGTGCTCAGGTTGGGGGGAGCCCCTGGGGGTACAGGCTTGAGGCACGAGGAGGATGTTCGCGGCCGCGGCGTGGGCACTAAGGTGCTGAGAGAGGGGAGGGACCGGGCCGGACCCACCCACGGGCGAAGCATCACTGACGGGCCCTAGAGAACTGGTGAACAACTACTTGGGTTTTTTGGTTTGGAGTGTTGTTATGTTTTATTTTAAAGGAAGGGAAGGCATTGTGAAAAGAGGGTAACAGGATAAGAATAGGGAACAGTAAAATCTGCTGAGGTCACAGTGGACCAAACCAGTTTTCAGTTGGTTGGCCGAGCACCTGTAGACAGGCCTGAATTCCAGGCCCAGCTCTGCCACTCGGGGTGGGAGCCCCAGACTCCCCCCCCCCCCCCCCCCCCCCCTCCCGTGCTCCACTACCTCTCTGAGGAGGTTAACGGCAGGTGGAGGGTCTTGTCACAGCTGAGACCGAGCCAAGGTCAGGGATCAGATCTAGGTCACGGATGGTTAAGTCCATCCACCTGCCCTCTGTCCTTCAAGATCTCCGAGGCTCAGCCCGGATGAGATGAAATAACACTGTGGCAGCAGTGGGGGTGAGCACACTTGCATTTTGGGGTCACAGGAGTGGACCAACGCCCCTCCTCAGTCCACTGAGGTCAAGAGGTTTGCCCTCCTGGCCCCTCCCCCCTGTCCCTGGGGGAAGCCCCGCAGTCCACACCCTATAGTGACACGTGCACTTACACCCACACGATGCCACACCTGCAGGTCATGTTGAACCCTCACACTTATCTGTCTGCCTTCATTATTGGCCTCTTGCTTTGAGCCTCCTTAAGCACCCAAACCCTCCAGGCTTAACACTAACCATCTTTACTCCGAACACCACACAGGCATTTTATCCTGTGCACACACACACACACCCTCCCCGCCCCGCCCCACAATGCCCAGAGCTCAGGCCTCCAGGTCCGCCCCTGCCCGTGGACCCTCCGTCTGGAGCCTGATGTGGACCGGCTGTGACTGGAGGCTGGCCACGGGCCGTCTGTCCACAGCCCCCGGACGAGTACTGCCTCATGTGGGTCACCGCGGACCTGATCTCCTTCACCCTCATCGTGGGCATCTTCGTGCTCCAGAAGTGAGTAGGCTCTGACCTCCTCCCCGGCCGTCCCTGCCCCAAGGCAGACCCGGCTCCCACCCAGCCAGCTGCCCCTCCTCCTGAGCTCTGGGCCGGGAGAAGGCCTGACCACATGGCCCACTCGGGGAGAAGGCTCCCAGTGGCCCCCAGCCCACCCCCTCCGCCAGAGCTGGTAGCTTCTGGAATGAGCACCCAGCTGGGAGCCCAGAGCCAACCTCTGCCCGGATTTGCTGCGTGGACTCGAGTTTCCACTCCTCTCCGGTCTGTCTCCTCACCTGCTGAACACGGCCGTGGTTCCCACCAGCACTCAGCACCCCTCTGTGCCATGCTGGAACCTCCCACCCTCAGACAACAGCTGGGCAGTGGGTGCAGTGGGGAGGTAGGGTGGCCCCGGGGAGGGTGGAGGGCCCGGCTGGGTCCCAGCCCAGCCACGAACCAACGGGAAGGGTTTTATTCCTGACTGACGTTCTCTCTCTGTCCCATTCTGCTCTGACCCGGCGCATGTCCCTACTCTCTCCCCACCCTCCCCTCTCTGCTGCACTCTGGCATCTCACAGCTATCACTTGATCAGGTAATTCTGGTGTGGTCTTCCTCCTCCTGCCCTTTCTCCCTCCTCGCCGCCCCGCCCTCCAGTTCCTTTGGAACCTGCCCAGCCCTGTGCCTGGGTCAGCTCCCTCCCCCAAAGCCTCCTTCCCTCCCCAGAATCCTCCTCTCCCTGCCCTCCTCCCTGCTCTTCCCACCTGGCTGTGTGTGCCCCTCTGCTCTCTCCCTCCTGCTGCTTCTGCACATGGGGAGCCAGTGTTTCCTTGCCGGTTGCTGACCTGGCCTCTGAGCACCAGCACTTCCTCTGCAGAGAGGGCTCTGCCTGCTCCCCCTCAGTGTCCCTGCAGGGCCTGCCCGCTGCCCAGCGCACGCCCCACCAAGTTCTGTCTCTCCCTTCCCAGCTGTCGCCTTTCGGCTCCCTGGGTTTGCCTCTCCCATCACTCATTCTCTCTTTACCTTTCTGTGTCTCTCATCTCTTTTTCACTTTCTGTCTGACCCTCCTCCCCCATACACATGCTCCCACTTTCCCCTGGAGAGGCCCACAGTGGGCGAGCTTCCTGTCTCAGATGTGCATGGCTGCAGAAACTCTGGCCTGACGCTCTCCTTCGGGGTTAATGTTAATTTCCAATGAGACTTCGGTCTCAGAGACCCAAGTCCTTGGTCAAGCACCTTGAGCCCTCCTGGGTCGGAAGGCTTCACTGAGCAGCTTCTAGGAGAAACTGCTCCCTGGCTGGGGGGCTGAGCCAGCCCAGGTACATCACCCAGGCCTTCCTCCACCCTCGCCTCAGCAGACGTACGGAGGTGCTGGCTGGCGCTGCTGGGCCTGCAGGGGCGTCGGCGTGCCTGGGAGGCTGGCCCTGCACAACATACAGCCAGGGTGGTGTCACTCTCTTCCTGGGGGTCAAGAGAGGCCTGATGGAGAAGGGGGCCCTGGTGCAGATCGTTTCCTCGTTCTTCCATTCACTCAAGTACTTAGGGCCCCCGCCACACACACACACACAGCAGGCATTGAGGTTGGTGCCAGGGACACAGCATAAATGAGACCCACTTGCTGTCCTCAGGACACAAAGGACACGAAGGGTGCTCGCCCAGCCAGAGCGCAGGCTGCCTTCCCCTCTGCTTCCTGCTTTGCCCTCGTCTGTCCGCTCTGTTCACCCACCCATCTGCCTGTCCATCTGTCTGTCCATTTCAGCTGTGCTGACCCCATCTGGAAACAACTGATTTCTTGTGGTGTCTGGGCTCCCTTCATCCACCCCAGCAGGGCTCCGTGCCCTGGGGGTTGGGTTGTTTCCAAGCTGACCCCCGCTTCTCTTGGTGGGAGTGGAAGTGGGGGCCCAGTGAATCCTCTGTCCAGGTTGCAAAGTCTCAAGGTCAGAGGCCAGGGGTTTGGGGCTAGTTGAGGATGACAACAGGAAAAGCAGTGCCTGTCTGCGCGTGGCCCCTCATGCCTGTGCAGCCCGGCCGCAGCCATCAGAGGGACTGGCACTCCAGCGGGGGCTCCCCATTGGGGAGTATATGCCCCCTTCTTGCAGGGCTGTTGGAAGAGAGCAGCACAGACCCAACCCAAGCCACTCTAAGTCCTTGGCTACGAGCCTGTGAAGACCAGTTCTGAGCAAAGCCCCCTGCATCTCCCCTCCTCTCTGCTTTCCTCCCTGGGGGTTCCCTCTGGCTTCCCTCAGCCGACTCATAACAGTGGAGCTGTAGGAGACATCAGCTGGGACTCCCCAAGATTAGTGTGTACCCCAGGGTAGGTCATCAGAGTCATGTCTGGTAAGCCCTCCCCACCCCACATTTATCACGTCCACAGAAACCAGGTGAATAACTGGAGGCACCTGAGACAGAACCAACCAACTAACCACCCAAAACATCCTGGGCCCGGGGAGCTGGGCTGGGTCTTGAGTGAGAGGAAGGCGGGAGAGGTCTGGCTGAGAGTCAGGAGGCCGATTCCAGCTCCAGCTCTGCCCTCGCTGGGCCCCACCAGACAGGAGTCCTGCTGGTCTCTCAGGCCCGATCCAGAGAGGCTCTGGGAGAGGGCAGGACCCTGCACCAGGGATGGGTGGGGAGGGCTGATCCGCGGGGTCGTCTCCGCAGGTGGCGCCTGGGTGGCATCCGGAGCTACAACCCCGAGCAGATCATGCTGAATGCTGCCGTGCACCGGACCAGCCGGGACGTCAGCATCATGAAGGAGAAGCTCATCTTCTCAGGTGGCAGCCCCGAGACAGGCCCTGGGCCCAGTTCTCTACCCTACACATGCACACAGCACATACAGACAGGCACACGGCATGGACATATAGATGCCCACACACGTACAGAGGCACACACATATACACATGCTCTCCACATACAGCCGTGTCAGCATCATGGGTGGTGGGCAAGGGTGACGTGCAGGAGCGGGGTGGAGGGGAAGAGTCTGCTTTGAAGGCCTATCCCCCTTTGCCTGGTTCATACAGGGACCCCAAATATTGACTTCATCCCTGCTGTTGCCGGCCGGCACTCCCAGTCTGATGGAAGAGGAGGCAGCTATATAAGCAAGAACACGGGAAACTGGGTGCCACTAGAGCACTAACAGATGAGGGCGCTGAGCCCAAGTGGGGTACAGAGCAGAGTGGTCAGAGCTCCCTGGGGCAGTAGGGATGGTTTTGGAACTCACTTTGCAAGGAAGTGACCTCGCTGCAGCGGAAGGATGGCTAGGAGGGGCCTGGGAGAGGGGTCTGCGCTGAGGGCGGAGCGAGCAGGGGCAGGAAGGCCAGTCCAGGCAGGAGCAGCGTTCAGAGGAAGTGAGGGAGCACTGCTTCAGGGCACCGGCAACCAAACACCGTTCCATACGGCGGGCGTGGCGGGGCCGCGGCTGGCCCACTCCAAGGTGGTGCCTGGTGGCCTGGCCAGGAGCTTGGGCCTCATTCTGGAAGCAGAGGAGGATTGTGGGAAGGTTTGTATTTGGCCGTTGTTGCAGTTGAGCTGTAACAAAGTACTACGAAGTGGGAGGCTCAGACAACAGAAATTTATTGTCTCACAGTTCTGGAGTCTAGGAGTCTAAAATCCAGGTGTCGGCAGGGCTGCGAGGGAAGGATTTGGTCCAGCCCTCTCCCCTCGGCCTGTAGATGGTCATCTTCCTGTCCGCATGGCGTCCTCCCAGCATGCATCTTGGTAATTCAGGAGAGAGATGTGAATATGGGAACAGAGAAAAGCAGAGATTTATAGAGCACTTAGGAGCCAGGTGGATCTGGAGTCAAATCCCAGCTCTATCCCCAACTAGCGGTGTGGACTGGAGCACACTGTCTAACCTCCCTCAGCATCAGACTCCTTGTCTGTAAAGTGGGCTAGTAACCCCCAAAGGATACGTGTGAGGGTCGCGGCCACGCCGGTCCAGAGGGTCCTTGGTAAACACGCATGGACGAGCGAGAGCCCAGTGGGGGTGACTGTGGTTTTGGTGGGGCTGGCTCCAAGGATCAAGGATCATGTGACCATCTCACCATCCACTCCTTTACGATTCATTTCTCGAAGAGATGAATGTCAGACACTGTTTCAGGTGCTTAGGAGGCACACATTCTTGCTTACCTTTGCTCAAAAAAAAATCCTCCTGGGAGCCTTCCCTGAGCACCGAGACGGGTTGGAGTGCCTGCCCCCGCCCCCCCCCCCCTCCTCCCGCCCCCCCCCCCCGACGTCCCACAGCCCTCTGGCCACACTGGAGAGCCCCTCCTGGAGGGAGGGGCCAGTCCAGGGCACCTGGGATCCCCAGGCCCTGCACTGTGCCCAGCCTCAAGTCAGAGGGCTGAGGAGCAGGAGGCCAGCCTCTACCGGGAGGCCTGGTAGGATCTGCCCAAACCCTTCCCCCTCCCCTCCTATAGTGCCAAAGACCATTCACTGAGCACCTCTGAGGCACGCTCTGAGGGGAGTCGACCACAGTCCTCACTCCAGGCTGAGAGGTCGTCTCCAGAGACCCTCAACTCCACCAAGGAACCCTGAGTCCCCACAGGGAGGTCTCGGCTCCGCTCAGCAGACCTTCCCCTGGGCCTCTGCTGTGTCCAGCTCTGTGCCAGGCACTGGGGACACAGGGGCCCAGACATCACCCCTATCCTCGCAGTGCTCCCGCTGGTGGGGGCCACAGGCAGGGGCAGTACAGGATGTGAGGGGTGGGGGGGCATGAGAAGGTCCCGTCCCTGCCAGAAGAGCGGGGTCAGGGAGGCTGTGAGGAGGCGGCAGTAACACAGATGAGAGGAACGAGCCAGATTTTTAAAGAAGGTGTTGATGGGGCAGTCACTCCCAGGAGAGGGGCCAGTTTGTGCAAAGGCCCTGGGGAGAGTAAACACATGGGTGTCGAGCGGATGGTTTGGATGCGGGTGGTTTTCTGTAGAAGGAAGAGTTCCGGGGGAGAGGAGACACCCAGGGGGCCTTGAATACCAATCTCAACACCCAACCTGAACCCAGTGGTCTCATCAGCATCCACGAGCCTGAGCAGGGGTCGCTGCAGGCCACCCTCCCACAACATCCTCCCGCCATCCTCACGGACCTCGCTTGCCCCCACTCATTTCTGCCTCCTCTGGCCCAACAGAGATCAGCGATGGCATGGAGGTCTCCGATGAGCTCTCTGTATGTTCAGACAACAGCTACGACACATATGCCAACAGCGCCAGCACCCCAGTGGACCCCCGAGGGACTGGCGGCCATACCAAGACCCTCGCAGACCGGAGTGGGCGTTAGCTGAAGCCCCGTCTTCCCAGGCTGAGCCTAATGGAGAGACCCGGGAACCCAGAACAGCAGGCAGAAGCTTGTCTGGCCTGGGAGTGCTTTGGGAGCTGGGGCCATGGCCTCCTCGTTGGCTCCAGCCCCTGTCCGCCATGACCTCTCTTAGGGGGTAGGGGCTCCTCTCCCCGCTCAGGCCCAACCGGGCCAGCACTCCAGCCTCCCAGATGCCCCTGCAGGCCTGGGGATCCTTCCTCTGGGAAGTGTGGGGCCTGGTCCTCCCCTGAAACCCTCCCTGGAATCCTGGATACTTTGATGGGCCACTGGGCCGTGCCCTTTCCCCTTTCCCCTGTGGCAATGGAGGATGTGGATGCTCACGGGGGACCACCCTCCTGTCTGGGCTGTGAAGCAGCCGATGTCTCTGTTTCTCCTGCCCAAGGACCTGGGGCCAGGCCTCTGCCCCCAGCAGCTCTGCTCTTCACCTCAGTCTCACAGCACAAGGAGGCTCGCCTCAGGAGGAAAGCCTGCAATCGTGGGGATTCTCCTCCGACCAGCCCGCCGCCACCGGCCCTGCCCCAGGAGGGGGCCCCAGCCACGTCCTTGGGAGCAGCTGGAAGTGGCCAGAAGAGCAGGCTCAGGGCTGCTCGGTCCCTGCCCAAGTGTCCAACAGCCTCCGGGGCAGAATGACCTGCAGGCTCAGGAGAGCAAGGCTGGCACAGTGACCACAGGGCAGGGCCCCCTGGGAAGAGCGTTCTCTGGGCGTGGTCAGGGGGCGGGCATGTGGCCAAGAAGGCCTATAGAGGAAGGAGCTGGAGGGACTTGGCCAAGTGGTTAAAGCTGACACATCATTTCTGAACTGTCACTGGAAGGATGGGGACGAGCTTGCCGAGTTTGGGATTCCGTCTTGGCCCCATGACATGAGGAGGAGCCGTTCTCAGAAACGGGAGAGTGGCAGGCTGGCAGGTTCCTTAACAGCCCAGGGCTGGGGGCCGATCTTGGAGAGAGAAAGTGACCGTCCAAGGCCACACAGAACAAGTGGCACGAGAATCCCATCCATGCCTTCTGTAACCAGCCAGGAACAGCACGGAAGATGGGGAGGGCTCCTGGGTCTGATGTCAGGGTGGGCAAAGGGCCTAGGAGGTCCCCGCATGGCCCCATGGAGGTGTTCTGAGCTCCCTGACCTGTGGAGACAGACCTTCAGCCAGCAGATGCCTCTCCACCATGGCAGAAGATTGGCTTGGACTTCTCAAGGATTTGGACCTGACCAAAGCCAGCCCACCCCATTCCTGGCACATTGGGATGCCTGGGTTGAAGCCCAGTATAGTCCACAGATGTCCCTTTCTGTCATTCAGTCCTTGGACCTCTGCCCTCCGTGAAGGAGTCTGCAGCGGCCTCGAGGCAGGTCTGTAACCCCCATCTTTGTCCTAAGAGTTTGTGTGATCTTGGGTGTGTCCTAAGGGGAAAAGGGAGAAGCTGAACTCTAGCACCAGCCTGCATTAAATAAACATGGTGCTTTCTGGAACCAAGGGATGTGTCTCTTCTCCAAGCAGGGGTCTTCTGGGTAGAATTCTTGGGGTCGGAGTAATTCTGCCACCTTCCTGGAGGAAAGGAAGAGAAACCCCTCCCAAACGTTGGAACCCAGGCTGGGCCTCCCCGCCACACACACACACATTAACTTCTAAGACGGCCTCTCAGGACCTGTGAAGAGTTCACCCCTTCTTTCCCCCACTGAGCATCTGCCAAGTGCTCCCCTTCCTGGAGCAGAGGTCAGCTCCTTCCCCTCCTTGGGCACAAGGGAGTACGAGTGAAACCTGGAACAGCTGGGTCAGGAGTGGGGTTCACTGTCCTACCCCAAATGCCCCATAGCCTGCTCTCCAGCCTCTGGCAGGCCCAGCAGGAAAGTGGCCTTGACCTTTCATGCCTGCTCCTCCCTGTCCAGGCAGTGCCCCTGGCCAGGATGTCCCAGGCTCCTGGCCCGACTTGGGCAACTTGAGACATCCCGGAGTTCCCAGGAGGGGGTAGAGCAGGCTAGGAGTTCTCTGTGGAAGAGCCAGAGTCCCACTCTCACCAGAGCACCCCCTTCCCAATGCAGACAGTCCAACTTCCTCCTCTCACCCCAAACAATGGAGGAAGGATGGAAGCCAGCCTGTACTTGGGCAGATGGCTGGCCTGCCTCCACCCTCAGTTGAGCCCACAGCACGTGGTCAACCCTGGCTCCTATGCCTTGACCTGAGGAGTTACTGAGAACCCCAACTTCCTGATGTCCTCCCTTGTCTGCAGAAGACAACCTGCCTGCCTGCCCTTCAAAGAGGCCTTCCCTGCCACCCCCTGTAGATCCACTCCATCCTTCCTCCCTTGGGCCTCAGTGGGTGACACCTCCTCAAGGTTGAGCCTTCCCTCTACTTCCTCCAGGGTCCTCCTTCCCAAGGATAGATAGAAAGGTGCCTCAGTCTAGAGGTCCAAGATGGCAGTGGCACAGGAAGACGCTGAACTCAACCAAGTATACACATGTATAGAGAGCAATCACTCCAAACAACTGAGGACTGAATGAACTAAATATGAGAACGAGACCTAACAGAAGGCTGGGAAGCCACAGGAGTTCTCCAGGAACCTCGGGAATATCTGGGGCTAGAGGGCCAAGTGAGACGATCTACATCCCCCTGGACCCCCACAGCACAGGTGGGGCTCTAGTCAGGTAATCGGGCCTACCTGCAAGGCTGCTGCAGTGCGTTCCCAACACATCACCTGAGCCCATTGTGGTTCCAAACAAAGGCAGCAAGCACAACCCCCAGGACATTACGACACACACTTGCCTCCCTCTTGCAGCTGCTCAGGGCTGGTAGGCCAGTGGCCCATGTATCTCAGGCACTTGCTTGGCTCCTACCAGCCTGTCGACTTATGAACCAGGAAGTTCCAGTTCCATTCCCGGTCACACCACATGCCTGGGTTGCGGGCTCGATCCCCAGTGTGGGGCATGCAGGAGGCAGCCAGTCAATGATTCTCTCACCATTGATGTTTCTATTTCTCCCTCTCTCTCCTTCTAAACACACACACACACACACACACACACACACCACATCATAAACCATGGAGGGGATTGTAAAAAATGTAGTCCTTGAAAATATACTTAAATTTAAATGCCTTAAAATAGGTTGCTATTGATATAGAACAGTGATGGCGAACCTATGGACATGCGTGTCAGAGGTGACACGTGAAGTCATTTTTTTGGTTGATTTTTCTTTGTTAAATGGCATTTAAATATATAAAATAAATATCAAAAATATAAGTCTTTGTTTTACTATGGTTGCAAATATCAAAAAATTTCTATATGTGACACGGCACCAGAGTTAAGTTAGGAGTTTTTCAAAATGCTGACACGCCGAGCTCAAAAGGTTCGCCATCACTGATATAGAATGATATACATAAACCTCATGGTAGTAACAAACCAAAAACCTATATTAAAAAATAATAACAATAAGGAATCCAAACAAAATAGTAAAAAAAAAAAATAAAAAGAAAAAAACCCCAGCAAACTACAGGAAGGCATCAAAAATAAAGAAAGAATAAAGGACTATAAAAACAACAAAAAATAAAACAACCATTAACAAAGTGGCAATAAGTACATACATATCAACTACTTTAGATGTAAATGAACTAAATGCTCCAATAAAAAGGCATAAGATGCTGAGCTGATTAAAAAACCATGCCCCATCTATACGTTGCTTACAAGAAACTCACTTCAAATCAAAAGACACATTCAGACTGAAAGTAAAATCACTAAGGAAACAATGGCCTTAAATGACAATTAGGCCAGATGGACTTAGTATTTTTTTTTAACATTTCATCCAGAAGCAGCAGAGTACACATTTTTTTCAAGTGCACATAGAAAATGTGAGAACATTTTTCAGGATAGACCACATGTCAGGCCACAAAACAAGTCTCAATAAATTTAAGATTAAAATCATATAAAGTACCTTCTCTGACCCCAATGGTATGAAACTGAAAATCAATTACAAGAAGAAAATTGAAAAACACACAAATGTGTAGAGGCTAAATAACATATTAAACAATGAATGGGTTCACAATGAAATCAAGGGTTAAATCAAAAGATACTTTGAGCTAAAAGAATATACAATGACCCAAAATATATGGGTCACAGCTAAAACAGTCATAAGAGGGACGTTCATAGCAATAAAGGCCTACTTCAGAATTAAGAAAAATCTCAAATACACAATATAACCTTACACCTAAAGGAATTGGGGGGGAGTGGGGGGGGGGGGGGACAAGCAAAGCCCAGAGTAGAAGGAAGGAAATAATAAAGATCAGAATGGAGCCCTAGCCGGTTTGGCTGAGTGGACAGAGCGTCGGCCTGTGGACTGAAGGGTCCCAGGTTCGATTCTGGTCAAGGGCAAATGCCCAGGTTGCAGCAGGCTCGATCCCCAGTAGGGGGCATGCAAGAGGCAGCTGATCAATGATTCTGAAAACTGTAAGACACTGAAGAAAGAAACTGAAGAATACACAAATAAATGAAAGGATACACCTTGCTCATGGATAGGAAGATCGGTTTCATTAAAATGTCCATACTATGCAGAGCAATCTACAGATTCAATGCAACCCCTATCAAAATACTAAGGGCATTTTACAGAACTAAACAAATAACCCTAAAATGTGTAAGGAACCACAAAAGGCCCTGGAGAGCCAAATAAATCTTGAGAAAGAACAACGAACTTGGAGGTATCATGCTACCTGGTATTAAATTATGTATATTACAAGGCTATCCTAATCAAAACAGCATGATACTGGAATATAAACAGACACAAAGGTCAATGAAACAGAATTGAGAGTCCAGAAATAAAAGCACACCTACATGATCAGTAATCTATGACAAGGAGGCAAGAATATGCAATAGGATAAAAGCAAACGGTGTTGGGAAAACTGGACAGATACATGCAAAGAGAGATTAGATCACTTTCTTAGACCATATACAAAAATTAACTCAAAATGGATTAAAGTCTAAATGTAAGACCTAAAACCATAAAAGTCCTAGAAGAAAACATAATAGGCAGTAAACTCTTTGACATTACTCTTAGCGATGTCTTTTTGGATATGTCTTCTTGGGTAAGGGCAACAACAGAAAAAAATAATGGGGCCACATCAAACTTAAAAGTTTTTGCACAACAAAGGAAACCATCAACAAAACAAAAAGACAACCCACTTAATGGTAGATCTTCCCAAATGACACTTTCGATAAGGAGTTAATATCCAAAATATATAAGAAACTCATACAACACAAAAAAACACACACGCACAAAAACTGATTTAAAAACGGGCAGAGAACCTGAATAGATATTTCTTCAAAGAGGACATACAGATGGCCAATTGTCATATGAAAAGATGCTCAAGGTCACAAATCATCAGGGAAATGCAAATTTAAAATGAGATATCACTTCACACCTGTCAGAATAGCTATCATCAATAAATAACAAATAATAAGTGTTGGCAAGGACGTGGAGAAAAGGGAACCCTTATTCACTGCTGGTGGGATTTTAAATTAGTGCAGCCACTATGGAAAACAGTATGGAGGGTCCTCAAAAATTTTAAAAAAGAACTTCCATACAATCCAGCAAATCCATTTCTAGGTATTGGAAGAAAATAAAAAGAATTCTAATTTGAAAAGATATATTCACCCCTATGTTCACTGCAGCATTAGTAGTAATAGCCAAGCTATGGAAGCAAACTAAGTGTCCATCAGTCGATGAATAAAGAAAATGCGGTACATATACACAATGGAATATTATTCAGCCATAAAAAAGAATAAAGTTTGCCATTTGCGACAACATGGATGGATTATGTTATGTGAAATAAGTCAGACAGAGAAATACAAAAACTGTATAATTTCCCTTATATATGGAATCTTAAAAAAAAAAAACCACCAAAAACGAATAAAATAAACAAAACAAAAATAGACCCACAGATATAGAGAACAAGCTGATGGTTGCCAATGAAGAGGGGGTGGAGGATGGGAATAAAGAATAATGTTCTTAAAAAGTGCCTGGATCTCTCACATCCTTTAACAAAGAGTAACACATACCACCCTATTTTTAGGCGGGAGGGGGACACCTCATTCCCTGCAGCAGGGTCCTCCTCGGAACACTCTCTCCAAGGCCTCAGGACACATACCTGGCCACCGTCACAGTGACCCCTCCTATCAGACTCGGCCGCCTAAGCCTGGCCAGAGCAGGTTCCTGCAACACCCGGCCTCAGTGACTCCTCATGGCATAAGGCTTTCTGTAAAAAAAGCTGGAATCTGGAGTATCCCTCCTGTCAAGATGAAAGACCAGCCAAAGGAGGGGCTGGTCTAGGGCTTTAGGACATATCATGGCAACACCAGGACAGATCACAGGTGCCCCAGGCCCATTGGTGCTCTAAGTCAAGGCAACCTCCTTCCAAACTGCTGTCCTTTTCTGTGAAGCTAAATCTGTTCATCCACCCCACGGACATCAGGCCCTGGCGCCCTTTGTAGAGG